GACACACCTGTGATACACCTGGGGACATCCCAGTGACACCTGAGTGACCAGTGACATCCCAGTACAGCCCAAAGGGACACCTGGAGATCTGTCACCTGCTGCTACAGGTGAGATACACCTGACACACCTGTGTGACACCTGACACACCTGACACACCTGGGATACACCTGAGTGACCATTGAGTGACACCTGAGTGACCATTGACACACCAGTGACATCCCAGTGTCCCCCAGTACAGCCCAAAGGGACACCTGGAGATCTGTCACCTGCTGCTACAGGTAATGGCACACCTGGGGCACACCTGTGTGACCATTGACACACCTGAGTGACACCTGACACACCTGTGATACACCTGGGATACACCAGTGACATCCCAGTGTCCCCAGTGCAGCCCAAAGGGACACCTGGAGATCTGTCACCTGCTGCTACAGGTAATGGCACACCTGGGGCACACCTGTGTGACACACCTGGGGCACACCTGTGTGACACCTGACACACCTGTGTGATACCTGACACACCTGAGTGACCATTGACACACCTGGGATACACCTGGGGACATCCCAGTAACACCAGTGACATCCCAGTACAGCCCAAAGGGACACCTGGAGATCTGTCACCTGCTGCTACAGGTAATGGCACACCTGGGGCACACCTGTGTGACACACCTGACACACCTGAGTGACCATTGAGTGACCAGTGACACACCAGTATGGAATTTATGGGATCCCAGTGTCCCCAGTACAGCCCAAAGGGACACCTGGAGATCTGTCACCTGCTGCTACAGGTGAGATACACCTGTGTGACCATTGACACACCTGAGTGACACCTGACACACCTGTGTGACACACCTGACACACCTGTGACACACCAGTGCCATCCCAGTATGGGATCTGTGCCCCCCAGTACAGCCCAAAGGGACACCTGGAGATCTGTCACCTGCTGCTACAGGTGAGTGACACACCTGTGACACACCTGACACACCTGTGACACACCTGTGTGACACCTGAGTGACACCTGTGACACACCTGAGTGACCAGTGACACACCAGTACCATCCCAGTGCCCCCAGTACAGCCCAAAGGGACACCTGGAGATCTGTCACCTGCTGCTGCAGGTGAGGGACACACCTGTGTGACCATTGACACACCTGTGACACACCTGACACACCTGGGACACACCTGGGATACACCTGAGTGACCATTGAGTGACCAGTGACATCCCAGTACAGCCCAAAGGGACACCTGGAGATCTGTCACCTGCTGATACAGGTGAGATACCTGTGACACACCTGTGTGACACCTGACACACCTGTGACACACCTGACACACCTGTGATACACCTGGGATACACCTGACACACCTGAGTAACACCAGTGACATCCCAGTGCCCCCAGTGCAGCCCAAAGGGACACCTGGAGATCTGTCACCTGCTGCTGCAGGTGAGATACACCTGTGTGACCATTGACACACCTGTGTGACACACCTGTGTGACCATTGACACACCTGAGTGACCAGTGACACCAGTACAGGGATCCCAGTGACATCCCAGTGTCCCCAGTACAGCCCAAAGGGACACCTGGAGATCTGTCACCTGCTGTTACAGGTGAGTGACACACCTGTGTGACCATTGACACACCTGTGACACACCTGAGTGACCATTGACACACCTGGGACACACCTGACACACCTGTGATACACCTGTGACATCCCAGTGTCCCCAGTACAGCCCAAAGGGACACCTGGAGATCTGTCACCTGCTGCTGCAGGTAATGACACACCTGTGTGACCATTGACACACCTGTGACACACCTGTGACACACCTGAGTGACCAGTGACACCAGTACAGGGATCCCAGTGACATCCCAGTGTGGGATCTGTGCCCCCCAGTACAGCCCAAAGGGACACCTGGAGATCTGTCACCTGCTGCTACAGGTAATGACACACCTGTGTGACCATTGACACACCTGACACACCTGTGACACACCTGAGTGACCAGTGACACCAGTACAGGGCTCCCAGTGCTCCCAGTATGGGATCTGTTGGTCAGTGGTCACTCATTGGTCACTCAGGGATCAGCAGTCACTCTGTAGTCACTCATTGGTCACTCATTGGTCACTCAGGGTCACTCAGCAGTCAGTTATGGTCATTGGTCACTCTGTGGTCATTCTGTGCTCAGCAGTGAGCATAGATGGTCAGCGCTGGTCAGTTATGGTCAGTCGTCACTCAGGGGTCAGTAATGGTCAGTGATGGTCAGTGGTCACGCACTGGTCACTCTGTGGTCACTCAGGGCTCAGTGGTCATTCTGTGATCACTCAATGGTCACTCATTGGTCACTCAGGCTGGAGCCAACATCAACGCCGTGGACAAGCAGCGCTGGGGAGGATCATAGGTGGTCAGTGGTCACTCATTGGTCACTCAGGGGTCAGTAATGGTCAGTGATGGTCAGTGGTCACTCACCGGTCACTCATTGGTCACTCAGGCCAGAGCCAACATCAGCACCGTGGACAAGCAGCGCCGGGGGGTGGATGGTTAATGCTGACCATAGATGGTCAGTGATGGTCAGTTATGGTCAGTAATGGTCAGTGATGGTCAGTGGTCACTCACCGGTCACTCTGATGTCCATCCCAGGCCGGAGCCAACATCAACGCCGTGGACAAGCAGCGCCGGACGCCGCTGATGGAGGCCGTGGCCAACGATCAGCTGGAGACGGCGCGGTACCTGCTGCAGAGGGGGGGGTGCGCGTATAGCCAGGTAATGACACACCTGTGTGATGTCATCACGCACCTGTGACATCATAGCACACCTGTGACGTCATAGATACACCTGGGATATCACACACACACACACAGAGCGGTACCTGCTGCAGCGGGGGGGGTGCGCGTACAGCCAGGTACGGACACCTGTGTGACGTCATAGATACATCTGTGACATCATCATCACACCTGTGATGTCATAGATACACCTGGGATATCATAGATACACCTGGGATACGCCTGGGATATCACACACACACACACAGAGCGGTACCTGCTGCAGAGGAGGGGGGTGCGCATACAGCCAGGTGAGACACACCTGTGTGACGTCATCATGCACCTGTGACATCATAGCACACCTGGGATATCATAGATATACCTGTGATACACCTGGGATATCACACACACACAGTGGTACCTGCTGCAGAGGGGGGGGTGCGCCTACAGCCAGGTATGGACACCTGAGTGACGTCATAGATACACCTGTGTGACGTCATAGCACACCTGGGATATCATCACATACACCTGGGATATCACACACACACACACACAGTGCGGTACCTGCTGCAGCGGGGGGGGTGTGCCTACAGCCAGGTACGGACACACCTGTGTGACACCTGTGTGACGTCATCATGCACCTGTGACATCATAGCACACCTGGGATATCATAGATACACATGGGATACACCTGGGATATCGCACACACACACACACACACAGCAGTACCTGCTGCAGCGGGGGGGGTGCGCGTACAGCCAGGTATGGACACACCTGTGTGACGTCATCACACCTGTGTGACGTCATCACACACCTGGGATATCATAGACACACCTGGGATATCACACACACACACACAGAGCGGTACCTGCTGCAGAGGGGGGGGTGCGCGTACAGCCAGGTAATGACACCTGTGTGACGTCATCATCACACCTGGGATACAGCTGTGACATCATACATACACCTGTGATACACCTGGGATATCACACACACACACACAGAGCGGTACCTGCTGCAGCGGGGGGGGTGCGCATACAGCCAGGTAATGACACACCTGTGTGACGTCATCATCGCACCTGTGACATCATCATCACACCTGTGATGTCATAGACACACCTGGGATACACCTGTGGCATCATAGACACACCTGGGATATCACACACACACACACACAGAGCGGTACCTGCTGCAGCGGGGGGGGTGCGCCTACAGCCAGGTAATGACACCTGTGTGACGTCATCATGCACCTGTGACATCATCACCACACCTGTGACGTCACACACACCTGAAGCGCACGAACCATGACGTCATCCCCCACCCTGTGATGTCACAATCTCTCTGTATGACATCACCACTCCCTTCATGATCCCATTGCCCCCTGTATGACGTCACCACTCACCTGTGTGACGTCACCGCTCACCCGTGTGACGTCACCGCGCCCTCTGATGACGTCACAGGAGGAGGACGGCTCCACCTGCCTGCACCACGCGGCCAAGAACGGGAACCTGGAGATGGTGGAGCTGCTGCTGAGCACCGGCCAGGTGGACGTCAATGCACAGGTGAGGGTGTGGGCAGTGTGTCCTGAGTGTCCTGAGAGTGGTCAGTGTGGTCAGTGTGGTCAGTGTGTCCTGGCAATGGTCAGTGTGTCCTGGGGATGGTCAGTGTCGTCAGTGTGTCCTGAATGTCCTGGCAATGGTCAGTGGTCAGTGGAGCTGCTGCTGAGCACCGGCCAGGTGGACGTCAACGCACAGGTGAGGGTGTGGTCAGTGTGGTCAGTGTGTCCTGAGTGTCCTGAGAGTGGTCAGTGTGGTCAATGTGTCCTGGCAATGGTCAGTGTGTCCTGAGTGTCCTGGGAGTGGTCAGTGTGGTCAGTGTGTCCTGGGGATCGTCAGTGTGTTCTGGGAACGGTCAGTGTGGTCACTGTGTCCTGGAGATGGTCAGTGGTCAGTGGAGCTGCTGCTGAGCACCGGCCAGGTGGACGTCAACGCACAGGTGAGGGTCAGCGTGTCCTGAGTGTCCTGGCAATGGTCAGTGTGGTCAGTGTGTCCTGGGTGTGGTCAGTGTGTCCTGAGTGTCCTGGCAGTGGTCAGTGTGTCCTGAGAGTGGTCAGTGTGTCCTGGGTGTCCTGGCAATGGTCAGTGGTCAGTGGAGCTGCTGCTGAGCACCGGCCAGGTGGACGTCAACGCACAGGTGAGCTCAGGTGTGGGCAGTGTGTCCTGAGAGTCCTGAATGTCCTGGGAGTGGTCAGTGTGGTCAGTGTGTCCTGGGTGTGGTCAGTGTGTCCTCAGTGTCCTGGGAACAGTCAGTGTGGTCAGTGTGTCCTGAGTGTCCTGAGAGTGGTCAGTGTGTCCTGAGTGTCCTGGGGATGGTCAGTGTGGTCAGTGTGTCCTGGGTGTGGTCAGTGTGTCCTGAGTGTCCTGAGAGTGGGCAGTGTGGTCAGTGTGTCCTGGGAACGGTCAGTGTGTCCTGAGAGTGGTCAGTGTGTCCTGGGAAGGGTCAGTGTGTCCTCAGTGTCCTGGGAATAGTCAGTGTGGTCATTGTGTCCTGGCAATGGTCAGTGGAGCTGCTGCTGAGCACCAGCCAGGTGGACATCAGTGCACAGGTGAGGGTGTGGTCCGTGTGGTCAGTGTGTCCTGAGAGTGGTCAGTGTGTTCTGAGAGTGGTCAGTGTGTCCTGGGTGTCCTGGGAGTGGTCAGTGTGTCATGAGTGTCCTGGGAATGTCCTGGCAATGGTCAGTGTGTCCTGGGGATGCTCAGTGTGTCCTAGGTGCGTCCTGAGAGTGTCCAGAGTGTCCTGGCAGTGGTCAGTGCGTCAGGGGATGGTCAGTGGTGGTCACTGACCCCGAGTGACCCCTGAGTGACCCCTTGGTGACCCC